GCTATGGAGGGACTGATGACGGACGAACAGATTGCCATCCTGTCCGCTGCTAGGGGACAAACAACTGTGGCTATGAACCAAAAAGAGGGCAAGAGAAAGTCGATGGTTCTATCATGTGACAGGGAATTTTACAGACCAGCACAGAGCTCACAAACCCAAAGAGTGGCAGGTCAAATAATTTAAGTACAAAAGTGCGGCCACGAAAAATGTATGGCTTCAAATGTAACCAACGAACAATTGTTTGGCTCAATTGTATGGTCGATCAAAGATCCTAAAACCAAACGCTCATATGCGGACAACTAATGCCCGAAAAGCAGCACTACTCATAAGTCAGCGAAATGATGCGCTCGAAACCGAAATTCCACCTGATACATAAGTTGCCTAGTTCAGACGAAAAGTGTTACATCCAGTCCAAGCAAAACAATGCTGGTTTCTATCTCATAGTGTCTTGGTGGATAAAGCAAGTAATCCCGGAAAATGGAATTGACTTCTCGATGACCCAAAGCGAAAAAGCCCTCCGAATTATGCAAAATGATCGTTAAATGTCATGCTACTGTTCGAAATCAACACGTATAAAAGTCACAGTGATCACCCGTTTTACGCAGCTTTCATGGCAAAACAAATCTTAAAAAAGCTTGGTTTGGACTCTTCGTCAAAATAATGTGCTTGAAAATGCCACAAAAGCCCTAAAAGGCAGAAAAACGTTGACAGAAAGGAGAATAACATCGGCAGATATCATATAGATGGCACGATGAGAGACGTTTTCTACTGAAATGAAAACCCTTGCGAATAACAATATCTTTGACGACGCGTTTAAACAGTGCAACGACAAGAAGATATCCCTTACTAAGATGGCTTTTTCGTTGAGACACCTTACATGACCTTTTGTGGACGGGGAGTTACGCGTCAGGGAACAATCGCAGAACTCGTGTCCACCACTTTAGACAAAGTATCCTATAACAAATCACGTATTTACTAAATCAACAGTACCAAGGACTAGACGGCAACAAGTGGAAAAGCTATACTGTCTCAACGATAGATACAAAGTGCCAATTGTTAGAGACCAACAAACTGTTAAGGTCCGCCCCTCAAAATCCTTGAAACACTGTTTCAATGATCGATGATGATTGTTTCAAGTATGCCAAGAAACCGTATCCTCCCTCTCCATCTATCGGACTGTACAGCCATGTGATCCTTCTACCATGTCCGGGGTCGATCGTTTCCGACTATAACAATTAAGTTAAATGACAAGTAGGTACTTTTGTCCTATGTTGCAGCAATACTGCATTAATTCTACAACAAAACGACGGTACTGGGGAAATAAATGTACCCTGTTGCTTTTCTAATAAAAGTATAGTATGGACTGCAACGGAGTCATGTTTGCCGATGACATCAAGTTATGGCGAGCGATCAACGGGGAAAATGATGAACGGGCCCTGCAAGAAGGACTGAACCGCCTATGCGAATGGTCTGATAAATGGCAGTTGAAGTTTAACCTTGAAAAAAACGTCACGCTGCGACTCAAAGCAGCTGGAAGAGCCGACGGAGAGGATCACCATTAGCTGCTTGGTGGAAAGTGCCTTTCAAATGTGACCCAACAAAAAGATCTTGGGATCAACACTTTGTCGACTCTTAAGCCTTCCTCTCAGTGCGTTAGGGCGGCCAAAACGGCAACTAGTGTTCTCTTTGCCATTAAACGAACTTTCGTAGACATAGACAAAGAGTTATTTGGAAAAGTATACGGAGCATTCATTCGTTCGCACCTGGAATATGGAATTCAAGCGTGGCGCCCGTGGCTAAAAAAAGACTATAAGTTGCTAGAACGAGTTCAGAGGAGAGCGACAAAAGCTGTGAAAGGCCTCAGGACTTTACCTTACAACTGCCGACTTAGTGAACTTAAACTCGTTCCTCTTGAGTACAGGCAGGTTCGAGATGATCTCATGCAGGCCTATCGGATATTGAGGAACCGGGACTGTGCCCTACACCTGGACGATTGCTTCACCCTGGCCACAACAGCAAACCTGCGTGGGAACTCCCTAAAACTAGGAGGATCCCGATGCCACCTGGACGTTCGAAGATTCTGTTTTTCAGAGAGTCGTCGGTGCCTGGAACGGGCTTCCCGAGGACGTAATAATGGCGGATACCACGGAGACGTTCAAGCAAGGACTAGATGTATATTTGCTTGGACAATACCGCTTGTCTGGACAGAACAGCTCTGTGGTGCCAAACCAACGCTTTGCATACATCTTCCGCTAATGTGGATGACTGTCATTGCATTTTACCGATATCACCTACAACTGAATGTGTTTGAGTTTCGGTCCTGCATTTTCAATGAAAAATATTCTGTTAAGTGAACATATTGCTGACAACATTTTAGTACTGTATTTATTGAAAGTTACATATTGCATGTACAGTTTACAATAGGGTTTTCAAAGGCATTGCCTATTACCTTTAAAATATACTGACCTATAGCAAAGTACAGAAAATCAGACCCATTCGGGACATCTAGATAACAACGGGACACAGTTGGTGTTCAGTTGGGGGCAAAGGGAAACATTGTGGTTAGGACTCCGTTTGACTCAAATGTAATGATATGTGGCCCCTAACAAGTGTTTACTTTTCAATACGCTCAGTTAACCGACTAACGCACTGAAGTTGGATGAAAGGCCTGCAGGCATCGACAAACAGCAAAAGGTTCCTATCCGGAACAACACACTACAAACGGGGCTACTTATTCTACCTAAAATAGGCCAAAACACAAAACTACATTTCGCGAACGTGTTAGACATCGAAATTCACCAGCACTTTGGTGATATTTAAACGCCTCCTACCTCCGACTCATCGTTGGTTGCAGACGCGGGTCAGGATGGAAATAAATACCGATGATAATGATAATAGGATATACCATCGTGTTTCGTAACATCGTGCGCAACTTAAAGCTTAAAGTAAGACTAGCGTTTAGAAAAAACAACAACTAAAACGAAAAAACTCTAAATAGGAATACTACGTTGTAAGAGGGAGCGCAGGTGTTGCATATTTAAGGGTTTATGTTAGATATCTAACATGCAGGCGAAAAAAAAAACAAAAACGGAACATCCCCCAGAGACTCGTTAAATGCAAGTTTTCTCATATACCTGGACGTTAAAAAAGGCAAGATTCCTGTAACTAACAGTATGATTAATAGTCGGAAGTAGAGAAATATTCTTAATAAGGGTTACTTGGCTCCTGATATCCCCTACAATATATGTTCGGTTTAACCTATGCGGAATAACAAAGAAGACGAGTTGAAGGAAGCAAACATGGATCTCTATACAGTTAACTTTGAAGCACGGTCATCTAGCGTATCAAATCACTACAGAAAGCGTGAGTTCTCGAGAGAGCTTATTACCTAGCTAGGAAATCTCACATATTACCGCGATGACCCTTTTTAATAGCATCTCTTAGACTGGCGAACCGATGTTTTGCTGGAAACCTCTGAGGGGTAAATCCTAGTAGACTTTTGCGCTCGATTTTAAAAGATTCACGTACATAAATGCGATTCGTGGGTCAGCAACGTCAAACGGCAACAAAACCACATACCGCGCTCTCTCAATTCCAGGCATATTGCCGTGTAGAGTTTAGCGCATTCAAACAGGAGTGGAATAGAGTGTAGATGTTGAGGGAAAAGTTAATGCATAA